AGCAGCAGCCTGCCCTACCAAAAGGGGTAGCCTTAACATAAAGAAGATAAACATTCCATATCCATAATTAGATAAATAATACTCCAGGCAAGATATGGCACCTTTAAAAGTGCCTTTTCAGCCTTGGATTTTTTTTCTCTGCTTGTTACTACAGAAACCATCTAGCAACCAGAATCTAAGACAGACTCCACCCAAAACAGAGAAAAACAATATAGACAGAGTAGGCTTTTCCTTCCCCCCACCCCTTTTATTTCCCCCCCTTTTCCTTCCCCCTCCCCTTTCTCTTTTGGAAGGGTGGGTGCTAAGGAAAAGTCTCTCACTGTGCAAAGGACAGGAGCGTTTTGCATGCAGTTGAAACAGTAAAGCTCTGATTACAGATGGCAGAAATGAAAGCAGGGAATGAGTAATGAGCAATGAGAAATGCGTAATGCGGGATGAGGATATAATTTCCACACATCGGCTAAAGAAAGGTTTACACTCTTAAGCAATAAAAACAAACCATTAAGCCAGACCTGCACTGTCAGGAAGTATAAAACAGTTCTTGAAACTCTGCAGTTACTATACAAAAGCTTTTCATAAACTTTTGTTTCCTGATCTTTCACAAAACATTAACATTATGTTCTTTCATAAAACATTAACATCAAGCTGCCATATGGCAATTAGCTGCCTCCTGAAATCAATAAAAGAAAACCCCCAAAATCAACAAGTTTAGGAATAGCTCTATAACAAAATAGTTCAATAATGATCCTCTTCTAATAGTGGGTCTAATATAAATGCAGTCCAGATGAGCTCCCTCTCCAAAGCTCAGAGTACAATAAATCATGTTCCTCTCCAAGCCTCATCAGTACTGATTGTTCAAGCGGGACCTCTGACTGCCTAATGGGGTGCAAGCAGGTGATAGCTTGGGGACCCCCAAACACAGTCATCATAGGAGCATGAAAGGTCTCAATGCCTGGCTATGATGAGCTCAGGTTAGCGCAGCAGAGCAGATCCTGCTCTGTTGAAAATGGCCAGTGCTCTCGGGAGAGCTTACCTCAACTGAAGATCTTCCCACAGCATTTCTACATGTTGCTGACCACAGGAGTCCAACTGAATTGTGCCCCAAAATTACCAAGCCACTCGACAAAGCTGTTACTGAGTCTCAAAAGGACAAGGGGAGATGCTGATCACATTTGTGTTTAGAGAGATGCTTATCTGAAATGCACAAAGGGTGATATTATCTATCGCAGTCTCTAGCTATATAGGTTGTATAAGTGCCTAGAAGCAATATGTTTAGGGGAAAACAGGCTATAGGGTAACAAAGGCAGTTTTGCCTTCCAGAGCTTCTGCTTTTTCTCCTCTTAAAGAAGAAAATAAGACCAAAAAGCTCATTTCTTCTTGTAGAGCACTATAACACTAAGTACTACTAACAAACTAAAGTGCTACTAAAGAACTGAAGTAAGTACTACTACAGAACAAAAGTAAGTACTACTAAAGAACTAGAGTATTGGAGCACTGTGGTAACAGCATACCTTTAGTTTTAGGACTATTTAGCACTCACTACCAGACTTAGATGATGATTCTGTGTCAGAAAGCCCAAACCTTTAGGAAGGACTGTCTGATCATCAACCCTATTTCTCAGGGTTCAGGAACCCAGCTGATCTCTAGGAGAATTTTCTGCTACTCATGTATGACAGTCTGATTCAACCCTTCTATTGGTAATCCCAAACAAGCTCTTCAGTGCAGCACTCTCATGATCTAGAGAGAGAGGTTAAGGGTTAAGGATTTAAGGTACGTTACAAAACCAATTCTGCAGATATTTATTGATGTGCTGAGCTTGACACATGCCTATTTCCTCCTCAAAATCAGTACAGAACCGGTGATCCTGTGACTAACACTAAGCAGGTATAGAAATGCTTACAAGAATGGGTCTTAATAGGTTTACAATTACACATTGGCCTCAGTGTATTTTACTAAGGATGCAACTCTTTCTCAAGCAACAGGAGGTTTGCCTTTATAAGGAACGCAGCATCACGCCATGAGCCAGCTACTGCTCATGCATAGACAAGCGCCGTAGCCAATTTTTGTGAAACAAGATTAGCATCAACGTGCTCTTATGCCTTACAGGAGAAGTAAAGCAGTCACCACTGTAAAAAGCCTCCCTCAATCTAGTCACAGATGGAAGGGCTGGAGCTGTGGAACTGAAGCCTTGCAATGCTGGAGCGTAAGATCTGGTTAGAAGTGCTGTGGGTTCTTTACAGATGTCAGTAGGTTTGGGATCACACCTGTCCTGCTCATAGAAATGGTGCAGTCTTCAACTTTTCAGCACTTTCTGTCCAGCTTTTGCAAGGTGAGGCTCTAGTGTACGTTAGCACTGCCACAACTTGACTGGTACAACTGTGCATTGCAGAAAATCAACAAATCACAGAATAGTTGGGGTTGGAAGGGACCTTTGAAGCTTATCTGGTCCAACCCCCCTGCAATGAGCAGAGGTATCTCCAACTAGATCAGGTTGCCCGGAACCACATCCAGCCTGGCCTTGAATGTCCCCAGGGATGGGGCATCCACCACCTCTCTGGGCAACCTGTGCCAGTGTTTTACCACCCTCACTGTAAAGAATTTTACCTTCACATCCAGCTGGACTCTCCCATCTTTTAGTTTAAAACCATCACCCTTGTCCTGTCACAACAGGCCCTGCTAGAAAGTCCCTCCTGTCTTTCTTAGAGGTCCCTTTTAAGAACTGAAAGGCTGCAAAAAGGCTCCCCCACACTCTTCTCATCTCCAGGCTGAAGAACCCCAACTCTCAGCCTTGCAGAACCTTCACTGTAGCATATCCTGTGCCTGACAACCTTGCCAAAGCAATGGCCATAAAGTGCTCATCACCAGTAATGCACACTGGCAACAAGCAAAAGGCAAACTAAAGTTCTGCATATGTCGTGTTCCCCCCTACACACATGAGCCAAGCAAACAGCACTGCTCTTTTGGTAAAAAGCAGAGGTTGTCTACCCAGCGAGGCTGCAGGCTACCACGTAGTATCAGCATGACAATAACATCAGCTACCTCTCAGAAATAGTGCCAGTACAAAGAAACACAGAAGTTGTTATCATGCCACACAAGCTTACCACCAGTCTAAGAAACCTTTCAGAAAAATGGGAGCAGCAAACAGGAAATCAGTTTTTCTCCCATATCCTCTGTACCCTTTGCTTTTTGTGATGATGAGCCCTACAGAACTGTTCTATATGAAGACCTCTAAGCCATCAGGTTAGCCTTTCTGATCAACAAACCTATGCAGTACCTTTGCTGTAACTCAGACAATTCTAGTGAAGAAGGAGGAGTTTGGGGAGGGCAGTAAGAAAGAGGAAGGTTCTGTTAATAGAAAGTTAGGCTAGTAGGAGACCCAAATTACAGATTCCCAGAATTGCCTTAGAGAGGTCTCTAATGGGCCAGCTGCACACATGGCTTTAGGAAGTGCTGCTTCAGTTCACCAAATCCAGAAATGGATCCATAACAGAACACAAGGGAGTTCTGACATCTCTGGAGATATCAGCACAGCCATTATATATCCTCTAAACACAGTGGAGAGCTCCTGAAACATGCAGGAACTTACCACCAGCAGTCTAACACAATCTCATTCCATTCCCAGCTTCGGTGCACTCCACAGTGGATTGCCAAGAAGCCGGTTTAAGCTACTTTCCCACTCTACTACTTCAGCATAGCTTTCACACAACAAGCAACCCAGCCTCTACAGCTAGTAACCTGACTGCCCTAGCAGTCTTCAACTACAACAGGCACAATAAGTGTTAGCTTTAATGCTGTTTGCCAGCTGCAAATCATGCTTTTGCCCCTCCAGGAAGGATTTGAAGAGTAAGAAGTTACAAGCACAAGTGAACCATTTTTTCCTTACAGACTGGACTTTTCAGAAAGAAAGATCAGAGTTTTATGATTTATTATCTGACACAGATTGAAACATTTGGGAAAGGGGGCGGGAAAAAAGGCTTTCAAACACAAAACCCTGGAAAAGAAGACAAGCCAATCTGCAAACCAGCAAACCCACCAGCTGAGGTTAGACAGGAAGCTGCATACGACAACAGCTTGCTGTATGTAGGGCAAGACCTGAAGATTAATGTCACTACAACACTCCATAGAAATGAGCTCTCCTCTGAGGTGAGGAAGTATGCAATGCTCTTCCAACTGGTAAAGACAAGGGCTGGTACAAATAAGGCATTAATTCCTCTTTAGCAATACATAACCACCAAAAATAAAAAAAAAAAAAAAAAGATGACATTTTAGTTTTTATTATTTTATATTTGGCCAGGACTTTTAAAGGAAGGACTTTGAAAGGAAACATCAAACATTCACTTTTCTGTAGGTCTAGAAAGGATTCAGCCTTCCCCCACCCTCCCCACCTCCCATAGGGTTCCTATTGGCCCTTCTGAAATTCACACTGCGAATTAGTTGGGAATCGCAGTATTTATACTAGATCAGCAACGTCTGGTTCTTATCCAAATGTTCCACCTAAAGAGGACGCCAGTTCTCATGGATTGGACAGCCCACCCTGCAGCATTCCTGAGAATTGTACAATATAATCTTGAAAGTCAGCAGAGTGGATTATCCACTTCTTTTTTTCTGGACTTGAACTTGTGACCTTAACAGTAGCACAGCAGAAAGCAAATGTGCTATGCACTTTGCCATAGTAACCTTCCATGTATTCTTTTTCTCCAACTTAAATACACACAATTGAAACAGCTACAATTTTGGAAAATTATGTACAAACCCTATATTTTTTGTTCTTTTTGATTACATATAAATACAAATTAGCTATTCTTCTAAAAAGTGGTTATAATAGGAAATAAATACAAAATAAGAATCTGACCATTATACTTCATGTGCTGGGGTGAACCCCATATAAAATGTACAACTAAAATACATTTAATCTTTAAAGGAATATTTCTCTGATTAAAATATTTGTTTTCCCAACTTTTTTTTTTCTTTCCGTAGACATAAATATATTTTCAAAATAGTTGTGTTTTTTTTTTTTTCTTTTTCTTTCCATTTCATTACATAAATAAAGTCTTCATTGGGAAATATTAAAGTGTCAGCTTGGGGGGGTTATTTTTAACCTTTTGTATTTGTCTAATATATTTTTTGCTGTGTCAGCGGCACCCACAACCCTCCACAACCATATCTTGATAGTTCTTTAATACAACTTTTTCATTTTCATCAAGGTAGAGCATGGAAATAGCACTCAGTTCTGTCGGCACACAGCAAGCCTTGGGGATTTTGGAATTCACTGAATTGACCAAAGTCTGAACAATGGCATGGTTTGTTGAGTTTAGATGATCTGCCAGTGGAAAAGGACATTCCCCGTGGCAGTAAAAGGCACTATACCCCGGTGGGGCAACAATCCAGTCATTCCACCCCACATCATTGAAGTCCACATATAACGGATGCCTTTTGCAACTGTATTTGTGGCGTTTACGCTGTTTGTGTTTCGCTTGACGCTTTTCTCTTTTATGGAGCGGGTGTCCCTTGCCATCATGCCCAAACGTTACTAATAATGGCCTGAGCTGAGACCAGCTATCTTCATCCTGATGTAAAGACCTGCTAATCCTAACGTGCCTCTTGGAGGCACTGTTCTCTTTGTCCAAGTGAACCACCTCTACCACAAACCCATGATTAGGTTGTCCATGTGCAATCCACCTCAAAACAGCTGGCGTTACATCAAAACTCTCCCATTTACTTGCATTATGATGCACCAACCTGGTGTCCAAAAGTCTTGTGACAGGGTCCTTAGAGGTGGCTGTGGCTGGCTTTATAATTTCATAAATATTAATACGGTGATGGTAGCTGCTGTTGTTCTCAAAGGCTCCGTGCACCTGCTTCCGAAAAATCTGGAGTTCAGCTGAGGTGATAGACTCCTCATTAGGGATGGAAGTTAAATTAAAGAAGAAACGCCGTGCTGTTTTCCCACTTGTTTCTGGCAGTTCTTCCAAAACTTCTAATTTGATTAAACAGGGAAAATAGAAAGAAAGAAAGAAAGAAAAATCAGGAACTGAGACAAGCAACCAAACCTCTCGCACTCTGCTGATGGCAACTTTCAAACAATAGCTAACACATGTAACACACGAGACTTTCAGGTGGGAAACACCACCTCCCTTGTCCTGCTCTATTTACACAAGCACGTATAGCATGGAGTTAAGGGTGCTTCACTCACTGTTAAGCATTTTGATTGCACACCGGTGCCCTTTGCATTCCAGGTGGTTATGAATGGGTGGCAACAACCACACTGCGTTATGCTGGAATCCAAGGACATCAGCAAGAAAACTCAAGCCTAACAGTGCGGCAACAACTGGTTGACGACTTCAGGCAACTGTTGCATTTCTGCCTTTTTCAAGAAGGTGGCTCTAAAATCAATCCCTTAAACTCCACCCTGAAAAATACCATTCCACAGTTTAGGTGGCTTAGAAATACTAACTTCTGGATTCTTGTATCTTGATTAGAAATGGTGAACTTAACATCTGTAACAGCGCTTTATGAAGCACACTCTAGGATGTACCCAAAAGGGCCATGAAGAACGGCAGGAGCTGAAAAGGGGTGGATGCTGAAGGGATAATGAAATAAAATTGCTTCTGAACAACAGGTTTCTCAAAACCACACCAGAAAATAAACCTGAAGTCACCGAACCCCAGGCCATTCTCGCCTTTGAGTCAACAAGTAACTGAATGGAGCTTCAGAGGGAGTAAAATGTACCTAGGGCTGCTGCTACAGCCACTGAAGAAGTTACAAGTATTTGCCAAAGCAATCCTCTCTCAAATCAAGTTTGGTTTCTATTTTGGGTGCTAAGCATCCTGGAGAAACACTCACTTTCGAAGGGGAAGCCCTAAGTGCTGTTAGCAGTTCTTGGTCACGTAACCATTCCCTGTCGAATCCAGTGCAACTTTTGGATAGGGGAAGGCTCAGCTTTCCGGGAGCGGATCAGTATTTGTAAACATGCAGATGTTCTGAGTGGTCACAAGACCAACTCCTGCTTTCAAGAAGCCAGGAACAGTGTGAGAACTCAGTGGAAAAATGGAGTTGTATTGATCTTCTAAACTTTGTGACAATTATAGAATAGCTTTTATGCCAAAAACTGTGCTTTTTGACTACTTCAAACTATAGGTTTTTACATTTGCCTAGAAATCATGGACTTCACCCTCCGATTTCCTCTCTCGCTCAGCCCCTTGCCTACCACACTAATGTGAAGGACCCCCACACTGGCTTTTCTCCATTCATTGCTACGTGTTTACTTTCCACGTAGGGAAACGCGGACGATGAGAGGTTACATTTCATCATCCATCTCCTCCCTCACGATAAAGGCTTCCCACCAAACAGCACATCCACTTCCCCGAGACCCCCTCTTTCATCCATCGGAAACATTCAGTATTAACCGATTCCTTTTCCCAGCGCAGCTTCACTTTAGAAGCATGCGGAAAACCGCGTTTTCATTGCATCTGCAGCGGGGCCGCTGCACGCCAGCACCGGAGACGAGCAGCCTCAGGAACAATTACAACCTGGGGAAACGTTTCCCAAAGAGCACGCGAGCGACACGCGCCCCACCGGCTCCACGGGCCTACCCGTGCCGTGGCCAACGCCACAGACACTGTTTCAGCTCCATGGGCTGGGAAACGCACCCAAGCTGCTTAGAAGGGTGCCTGGCCTCAGTGGGCTGCAGGCCAGGAGGGATAGGGATGAAGCCGGTCACCACGTTCTGCTTTGGGCTGGGTTATCTGCAGGTGAGAGCCCAAAACTGGCCACAGGGCTTTTTTACCAGCCTGGGTGCTGCTGGCTGGGGAGGAATAGCTTGGGTCCGGGCTAAACCGCTCCTCGACGGCAGCGGGGCGAGGGAGTGCTTGAGGAGGGCGCAACAGATCGTTGCATCGATCTCTCACGGGGATGAGATGAGGATTAGAAACCCCCGCAGCCTCGGGGAAAGTTCCCTGCGCTTTACCCTCGCAAAGGGAAAGCCACCCGGGGGAACACTTAGCGTGGAGCCGCTCCGCTTTAGCGAATAAAACGGGAGCCCCTCGTCGGGAGGAGGAGGAGGAGGAGAAGCGAGGCTGGCTGCGCGCCACAGCAGCAACCCCGGCGCCTGCCGCTGAGGCCGTGGGAGCGCGGCCGGCTGGAAGCGCACCGCCGCCCCGGTGAATCCAACACACCCGCGTTACCGGCGCTCCCGGGGAGGAATCCACCCCGACGCTCCTCCTCCTCCTCCTCCTGCGGCCCTCCCCCTTTTCCCCTCCGCTCCGCGCCCGCCACCGGCCCCCCGAGCCCGTACCTTCGTGGTGGAAGCTGCGGACGGTGTTGGCGCGGCTGGCGGCCCGCTCCAGCGGGTACCCGAGGGCCGGCGGCTGCCCCTGCTGCTGCCCGGCGTGCAGGCGGTAGAGGTCCAGCATGTAGGGGGGGATGACGACGTCCTTGCCGGGGCTGGGCCGCCGCTTCAACCCGAACATGTGGAGCAGGCGCAGCTCGAACTCGCTGAGCAGATCCTCGGGGCGCTGCGCGGCCGAGGCGGCGCGGCCCGGCTCGGTGAAACGCCGCCGGCCCACCTCCGGCATGAGGCCGGCCGCGCCGCCCAGCAGCGCCTGGCAGAGCAGCAGCGCCAGGAGGGAGCGGGTCGCGGCAACCATGATCAACCTGCGCGGAGGAGGAGGAGGAGGCGATGGGAGCCAGTCAGCGCGGACACCGCGCCGGGGGAGCGCGCCGCGGGGTTGGGGGGGGCGGCGGACGGGGACGGTCCGCAGGTGGGACCTACCCCGGAGGGGCTCGGCGCGGAGCCCATGGCGAGCGGCCCCGGCCGGCCCCGAGGCGCGGAGGAGCCCCCCGCGGGGCCGCTTCAGGTGCGCGGCGGGCGGCGGAGCGAGGCACGAAAATCCCCGTGGCAGGAGATCAAAGGGGACGGGACGGGACGGGGCGGGGGAGCGGAGCGGGGCGATCCGCAACAAAGGAGCGCGGCGGGGAAGGGGAGGAAAGGGGCGGACGGGGGCACCGCCGGGGCCGGGCCGCTGCCCTCGGCGGGGCGCAGGTGTGCGCCGGGACAGGACGGGCCGCTCCGGGCCTCGCCTCCCGCCGCGGCCGGGGCCGCTCCGGCTCCGGGACCAGGCTGGGGCTGCTGCCCCGCCGCCGCGCAGAGCGGCCTCCCCGCTGCGCTCCCGTCCCGACCCGAGGGGACTCGGGGCCGGCTCCGCTTTGCAGCGCTCCCCGGAGGGGCAGCGACTTTCCCCAGTGGAGAGAGAGGGAGAAGCTACCTTCCCTCTGCGGGGTGGGAGAAGGGGAGGGAGGAAAACGCAAATCCTGCTACGTCCTTAGCCAAACCCACAGGGTGATACTCTCCCCCGTGAAACTCTGCGCTGGGTTATTATTATTATCGTTATTATAATTGTTATGATTAGTGTCCCGTCCCCCCTCTCTCTTCCAGAGCGCTAGCACCTCCGCCGTGGCCCACGGAGTCATCCTGCGGAGGAGGCTTTCAGCGGGTCTGCGACCGCCGGGGTTATACCTGTGTGCAGCAGCAGCAGGGGTTGTGTCTGCAGGAGGGTTTTCTGCTCTCGGGGTGTTTTTCCCGCATCACTTGGTGTTACTCCGAACTTCGCTGCTGCTCCTCTACAGCTGCCGAGCAGAAAAGAGAAGTTCTCTGAAGTACGGTCCGCCTCAGAAACATACTTTTAGCAGCTGGGTGAGGAGGCAGAAGGCAAGTCCCGGCCAGGGAAGGGCTTCTCTCTTTTAAAAGCAGCGATCGAAAAGTTGTTGCTTCTTCTTCTTCCTCCTCCTCCTCGAGTGTGTGTGCGTGTGCCTGCCCGTGAATGGGTCCCTATGTGTCTACGGACTTAAAAAGCTCCTTTTCAAAGCAAAAAACAAAAAAGTCCTTTTGCATCACCCGCGTCGGACAGATGGACATTTACCGAGGCTCCCGCAGCGGCATTAAGGCGAAGCTTGACTTTCCCCCGCTCCCTTAAAAAGAAAGAAGAAAAGAGGGAGGAGAAAGGAGGGGAAAAGGAAAGGGAAAAAAAAAAAAAAGAGGGTGGGGAGCGACGGCTTTAGGGGACAGCGCCCGGTGCCCGGCCCGCCCCGCACCGCTCCATTGCCGGGGGTGCCCGCCCGCCGCCGGGGCTTTTTGTTGCGCGGCGATGTCACGACCCCGGAGGCTCGCAGGCCCGCTCCAATCACAGCTCCCTGTGGGAGCGGGCTGCGGCCCCGCACGGCTTTTTAAAGGAGACGCCGCCTCCCTCCCTCGTTCCTTCCCTCCCTCCTCCTTCACCCGTTCTCCTCCTTCCCTCGCTGAAGCTGCCCGCCCGCCCCGTTAAGCTGTGGGAAGCGCCGGCACAGTTCCCCGCATCCCGTTCCGGGCGGCCGAACGGCGGAGGGGCACGGGCCGCCCGGCTCGGGATGCGGGATCGGGTCGTACAATACCCCATTGTACCGCAAATCGGATTAGCACCGTGCCCCGGCCGGCTGGGGTGGGAAGGTGTGAAGGTCACGTAAGGTATCGGGAGAATCCCGGTGCTCTAAAAGCACTTTAACAACATACATAGTTACTTTATTGCGTGCGAGCCTGCGGGAAGAGGGCTGGAGAGCCGGGGGTTCCCTCGCTGTCCTCGGAGGAGGCTCCTTCCCTGCTGCGGGCTCAGCCCCAGCCGAGCGGAGGGTTGGGTCTGGGTCTGGTGTGAAGGGGTTTTTATTAAGATGTGGCTGCCCTCCAGTGGTGGAAATGCGGCGGATCTCCGGCACGCAAACCCCGGCATCGCCATCAGAAACCAGCCCAGCGACTCTGCCCGGCACCTGCCTCCGGTGCGCACCGGAGCGCCCGAGTCTGCGGGAGCCGGCATCGCATCCAAGCACGGAGTAGGACAGCTGGGGTGAAGAAGGCAGGCCCATGTTCAGTGAGATTCGGCTCCCAGTCCGAGCTCCCTTTGCTGGTATTAGCAAATCCCTTCATCCCAATACCATTTAATTTGTCCGGTGGGATGCACCCTTTGATCCATCTCCTGTTTGCCTGCTTTGGCTCTGCAGCAGGGCCCAGCCCCTGTTGCACAGGTATGTGATACCCAGCAATTTTGGGTCACAGAATCAACTACGTTGGAAAAGACCTTTAAGATCACCAAGTCCAACCTTTACCCCGGCACTCCCAAGACCACCACTAAACCACTAAGGGCCTCATCTACACAGTGTCTGAACGCTTCCAGGAACAGTGATTCCACTAATGCCTTGGGCAGCCTGTCCAATGCCTGAGCACCCTTTGGTGAAGACATTTTTCCTAATATCCAGCCTAAACCTTGCCTGGTGCAGCTTGAGGCTGTTTCCTCTTATCCTATCACTAGTTCCTTGGGACAAGGAAGCCCCATCTCACTCCCTGTTTCATGCAACCTCCTTTCAGGTAGCTGCAGAGAGTGATAAGGTCCCCCCTGAGCCTTCTCCCCCTCAGTTCCCTCAGCAAAGCCAAAGCCAGTGGCATGGGGTCCCGGTGCTAGCACAGCAAGCACCGTGTATGCCTTGTGCTGCACCTCCTCTTCCACCCAAATACCTCTCAGGGGCTTCATTTGCAAAAGGCACAGCCAGCCTTTGACACCTTGAATTACTGCGGAGGAGGATTTAAAGCAATAACAACCGAGATGGCTCCATTACCAGCTCCTCCTTTGGGAGCGGCCTTTTCCCTCCATCTTGCTACTTTCCAACTGTAGGGAAGCCACCGATTTGAGGCAGAAATTCAGCAGATTTGGACCAGAGTAATTCCTGTGCTCCATGGCTTTTGCACTGTGTTAGAGTGACTTCAGCTCTACCTGCCAAACATCACTGCAGGATGAGGTGCTCACATAGAGAGCTACATACCAGAGTAAGAAACCACCTCAGAACTACACCAGCCTAATTAAAGAGCTGGTAAAGCTCCTTCCTACCAACAGCTCCCTACACTTGTTAATCTGGATTATCACTCTGCTGTGAGTACAGCGGGAGAGGCGATGGAGCAAGGTGAAATCCTTCAAAAGTGTAGCTACTCTCCCGTTGCATTCCAGTGCAGATAATGTTTAATTTTATGACTTCCTGCAAGTCTTTAGCATGAACCGAAAGTGCTGTGCAGTGTGACTGCAGGGTATGCCAATTATGTAAATCAGCACTAAAATAACAATGGCAACGTAGTTTACACATCACTGACATTAAATGAGCACTTCAACTTCTAATTGCCATTCCAGTTCAATCTGTAGTGGGTCATGCCAGGAAAAAGTCATTTCTTGCCTCAACGCTTACTCCCTGTGCCTGGAGCATAGGCTGTACTGTATGGCCAGCTTCATGTTATCTCCAGGAGCTTTCTGTATTAGGATGATGAGCCTTGTGAGGGAGGAACGTGCCTGTGGTTGTTCTGAAGGCCTGCAGATGATCTGATGTCAAAAGGGTCTTGTAGGTTTGTCCCTCATTTTAAACACAAATAGGCTCTCATAGAGTTCTGTTCTCTTGGCCATAGAACATTTCCCCTTCTAGTTTGTCCTCTCTCTGCCTATTTAGATCAGGAGCTGCTGGGGCAGTGATTCTGCCTTCCCACTTGTTTCCAGGAGGTCCCAAAAGACAACATGGAAGCACTTACAACATCCTCCCTGAACGCACCGGCACCCACACCAGAACCTCAGCCGTGCTCCAGCACTTGCCCCACATTTGATTTCTCACCAAAGCAGATCCAGCTCCCCTTCAGCCAGTGCCCTGGTGAATATGGGGAATAAGGCCCTCCAAGTGTCATCCATGAACATCTGGTTACAGTTTGTGCCTCATCAGCACAAGAAGCAACCAAATACCCCTCCGTAGAGCCCACTGCCTTTGAATACAGCATTCCAGCCTGCTCCTGCTGCATCTCTAGCATCAGCACACCTGAGCTCAAAGCTGAGAAGTATTTTTGTCATAACAAAGAACATTAGACACAGGTGTATTTAGCTGTAACGAATGCATCACATGGTCTGTGGAATTAAGTTTAGTGTTTAGTAGAGTTTTTTGAGAGGTGATGAGCCAGTAACTCAACTAATGGCACCTGCTGCTAAGGTTTCAGGTCCAGGTGTTCCTTTCCAGGACCACAACACAGCTGATAGACCTCAACTTTAGCTATCATTGGGTTTTCTTAGTAAAATGACAGAAAAGTATCCAAATAAGGTCAAGTTTTGCAACACAGAGTCCTTAAAGCCCAGCATTTCCTTCTTACAAATACTATACCAAGTCACATTTATGTGATGCCACCACGTAGTGTCCTTTCTACCAACCTCATTAAACTGCAACCATCATTCTTGATGGCTACAAGCAGAAGACTTCATCTGGGAGACCTAAATGAGAAATTCTCACTAGGGTTTCTAACTGTAACTTGTAATCCTTAACAAAGCCACCTACTTTCTGGTCTATTATGGAATCATAGAATCACAGATTAGTTTGGGTTGGAAGGGACCTTAAGCTCATCCAGTTCCAACCCCTTGCCACAGGCAGGGGCACCTTCCACTAGAGCAGGTTGCTCCAAGCCCCTGTGTCCAACCTGGCCTTGAACACTGCCAGGGATTAGAGGCTAAGGTGTTCAGGAACACTTGTATGCTCTATGCACACTGATGGACAACACTTCTACTCCTGGCTTCCCCAGACCAGTTAGACCAATGCTGAGCATTAGTGAAAATTTCCACTTTGCACTGCTGTCCCCTGGATATGATAAGTACGTGAGACATGAAATATTAACAGCACTGAGCTTTTCTATGGATTTTGCACATTTTAGTGAATAAACCTCTTGATAAAAACCCGTGCTGAAGCATGAAACATACACATGGTACAGCATCAAATGCTAGAGAGGCGGCTTCTGAAAATGAGTTAAGATGTGTTAGTGATGTTGAGGTTTTGGCTTCGTAACGGGTGGAGATTATCTGAAAGCTTTTCTGTTCCTGAACTGTGCTTCCTGTTGGCATTTGTGTGAATCTGATGTGTGGCCATTCTTTAAAATACTCCTTAGCACTGTTCTCTGAAGACATACTTGTCTTCTGGTGGTTTGTCTTTTAACATCTCTCAGTTGTCCCTGCTGCGCAGGCTGTCTCCTGTCCCATGAAGGATGAATTCTCACCTGAGAAGGTAATGTACAAGATGGTGATCTGGTTTTGAAGAGGGGAAAGGCAGTTTGTTCAGAAATGTCTCTTTCTTTCTTATTCACCTTTGCTGAAATTTGGCAGCTCTTCAAAGCTCTGTTTCACTGCGAGTCTCAATTTCATTCATCAACTCGCAGCTTTCCGTCCATCGTAGTGGCAGGGAAATGGGAATTTATCAGGAAATACAATGCAGACCTAGTATTTTCTGCATGTTCAGTATGTCTCCGTTTCCAGTGAACAAAACCAGTTGCTCTCAACAGTGTTATGTCTGCAAATACAGGCTGTAGTGATCAGTTCATGTGGCTGGGCAACTTGAAATTGTAAGACAAATTCCTACAACTTGTACTGAAATTGCTGGGGAAAGAGGAAAAAAAGGAAGTTAATGTGACAACCTTTTACATTACTGTTTTCCCCTTGATGCTATAAAGTTCCCAATGTCAAAATCCAGTATTTAACCTGTGGCTTTTATCATTAAGAGGAGACAAAATGCCATAACGCCTCTGTACAGGCTGCACAACAACTGAGCAATCACTGGATAGATTCCAAGGCACTGCCACCATTTATGTACATTTAATTACATGGAGTAGGAATAGTTACAGGCTGTCGGGCTAGGGAGATTCCATAGGCAGTGAAGTGAGTAAGATTCAGGGGACCTCAGTTCTATTCCCAGTGACAGAAGTGTCCTTTTTCTTCCCTTTGCTTTTCCACCTTGGAAATGGGGATGTCAATGCTCACCCCACTTTTAAGTCCCTACAAGACCTTTAGGCAAAAGCACAAAGAGCTAGGCACTGCTATTGTTTGGGGTTAAATACTAGGTTAATGCCAATAGCAATCTCAAATACCTGGAATCCCAGAGCTTAATCTTGCCTGAAAGACAGTGGCAAAATTCCTACTGGTTTCAGAGGTACAGGATCACTTGTGTAAGTGATGAAGAGACAGGGATGCCAACTACTCCAGTCAGAAGATTCAGAGCAAAGAGGGCTTTTTAATTATGTAAGTCTTGTTGGGAAGACAATGAGGTGAGGGTGTTCCCCCACATAAAGCAGAAATGGCTGCGTCATAGATGGTCCACTTCAGGAGCTTATAATTTCATCACAGCAGAGATCTTGACGTCAGGTAACATGGAGGATAATATAAAGTTGCGCGTTATTGCCTTAAGAAGTGCATACTTTAACAGTGCAGCGGGATAATGTTTTGCAATTAAAATAAAATAAAGGCAAGCATGACGTTCTGTTTAAGCAGATTGTCTGTATGAAGGCTTTATTGTAGCTGCAGATTTAGGGCATATGAAAAGGTTTTCTGTGCTCAGTTGCAGGACGAAAATCATTGCATCACCAAGGCATTCTTGTTCACTAACACTCCTTCACCAGTGTGTCTTTGATAATGACTGCTCGCAGTTTAGTTTCTGCTGCAATGTCATGTTTTCTCAGGTCACTATCATTTTGATTTTTTAACATCCTCTAAAAACCAGACAGAAGGACAGAAAAGCAATAGTAAAGCTTTGAGCCTGCTCCGTGCCATGTGCTCGGCACAAGCGATCAGCTGCTGCACCTGCTTCACACTGCAAGTAAAGCTATTTGCAAGTCGCTTTCAATCGCATCCCTTGTTCCCAGCTCTGCCCAGTTTCCAGAGGAGCTCTGATGGGCACAGGCCTCAGTTCAGACATCACCCTGGAACTTTTATTCAGCAGCTCATTTGCTTGTGTGCTGCAAAACTGAGTGGCTCGGAGGGGTCTTAGGAGAGGAACATCCATTGAGCATGCCCAGGCTCTCATCTGCTCCAGCGTTCCCTCTGCAGCATTCCAGAAAGCACGCTCTGAAGTGTAGAAACGAGTTACTAGTGGCACATATTGAACTGCTTCAAGACACTCTTTATCCCCGGAACATCTGTAGCTCCAAAGTCATAGTACTCTTCCTTTATGTGACCTTTCCATTCCTCTCCAAGAGGAGGAAGAACTGCTCCCCCATTTTACAGAAGGGGAAGAGGGGCAGAGCAATGAAAGGCTGTTTTTCTGGGAGCCCCAAAGATCCATATAGGTCACACTAACATTTTCGATTATGCATAATCAGATTAGACACAGTTTTGGGGTTAAACTCCCCAAACTTCAGTGTGACGTTAAGTACTCCGCTCACATAGATGCTTTTGACGAGCCCAATACCAAATCTATTACCCAATAGTTTCCTGCCGAATTCTTGCAGTGCCTTGTCCACAGTTCTTACTGCAACCATAAATC